GATTGACTGTATAGCCAATACATCCTTAAGACAATACAGGTACTTAATCAGACAATGTAATAGAAATCAATTATGTCAAATTTAAAAATACCTGTACGTTTTACGTTTTATTTGGTTTTATATGCTTCTTCAATTCAATGCTTTGTTTTATAACGTCATTCTTTGTGAATTACCAATATTTATCGTGTTCATTCTGTTTCTCGTTCCATTAGCAGTTAATAATGTTCTTTAATTTTATTCAATTCTCTCCTTTTTATGATCGGAATTTATTTTCGTCAGTTCACACCATTGCCATGCAAGGACTTTAAAAATGAAAAATGTTTTATTGTATATTCGTTTGAAAGGATTTCACTGGAAAGATGTACAGGAATACAGTCAGCGTTGAAGATTCTACACGCATTGCAGTGCATTAATCCGAACGCTTTTGTCTCGCTGTGCACGTGTCAAAGGACCGCATTTTCAAAAATGTAAAAAGGGAACAATGCGATCGGAGCAGGCTGGCGAGAAATGCAATCTGAGTTGCTTTGAGGGTCGTGAAAAGTTGGAAAAAGGAGAAAAAAGAAATCAAAGTCGCAGTAAATCCTATCACCCATTGTCCCAACCGAGAATTACCGCTATTAACGATTCTTTCCGCCAACTTTTCCACCCCTTTCTTTGTTCTTCTGTTTCCTCATTAACCCCACGCGGAAACTCGCAAATTTTTTTTTCAAATAGGCGCCGAATGTTCATAGTAAAAATATTCGATTCTGTCGATTTTACACGAGGCTAACGCGTTTCCCAATGTGTTCTCTGGCCCTTGTATTTGGAAAACGTAAAATACGCACGTGTTCCGTGGAATCGAAGAATCTCGAACGGTACGTTTCCTCGATGTATTCGTAATAACGATATCAAACATTTGCCTACCGTTTCGATCTTCAACCTCGGCGTGTTTGCTTGATTACTTGTATCAATGCGCGGACGCAATCGCGCGGCGAACTTTGTCGCCCGAGGAAATATTCAAAAAATGTTTTTCAGAGCACGTTCGAAAACTGTGTTTTCTAACATTCGATATCATTGAGCAATACTAAACATATTATTGCAATACGTTCGTCATATTTTTAATAATTATATTATTCATATATTGTTTCTATTTCTTTCCTGTTATCTTGATAGAATCGAGTTAGTTATTCTTTTTGAAAATTTCGATACGAAAGAATTCTAATATTCTACAGACTTACTGTCTGAATGAAGGAATAGAAACATAGAGAAAATGTAAGCATGCATTCTAAAACTTTTGAAGAATTTTATGAACTCGTTTGATAGTTCGTGGTGATATTCTACTCACTCTCTCGATATCAGTGTAGAAACGGGCGATTTCCACTTGGTTGGTGCCTGACCAGAATCCGGGTCATACTGCTGGCAGCAGCAGAGCCTTATTCCAGCACACCAGAGTTCTGTTAAAATAAAACCATCGTTCTCTGTATTATACTTATAATCATTAAACTTATACACATTTAATTTAATGTTTAACATTAGATGTATGTGCATCGCGAAAATATTTATTAAAACAGCTATCTTGTTATTTCCATTTCCATTTTGTTACTCAGATTCATGCAAACATTGCATACTATAGCAAGTTTGAATAATCTTAAAGGATAGCTGTGCGCGTTGATTGAAAGAACCATTTTCAAGTCTCGACGACTTGTCTTCTTGCAGAACTCGGGGACAAAAATAATGTGGAAAGTTTGAAAAACAGAAATATAGTCGAACGATTCGTCGAGGTATAAGTTCAGTTCCAGGAACATAATTGTCCCCGGTTTCTCGAGCTAATCAAACTTTCTGTAACTTTTGAGAACAGAAGATATTGCAAACACTAGATACGGACCGTCGTCCAGGATTCCTGGTTCTCGCTTCTCGGCGAATTATTCATAACCGAGAAAAAAGGTATTGCAACGCGATACTGTTGAGATTTATTCAACAGGAAAGAAAGGGATTTTTGATGGTACGGAGAATAGGGATTCCTTCCCGAACGGTAATATCAGAGACTGGCTCTTTGTGAACGTACGCAAAAGCACGGTCACTGGCTTGTCGATGACAGTTCGATTTCCTTTTCTCCGTTGGCACGGTCACGAGAACTGCGTACACGAAAAATGGTCTGTCGACCCCGACGACGATCGCGTCCTAGTTCGCAGCGCTCGCCTCTTTGCAACTGTTAAGGGGAAAAGGGAAACCCGCAGGCACTCTGGCTCGATTCGGGATTAAAATTATTGCCTGTGGTGCTGCCGTACCGTTTTTGGACGCCTTTTATCATAGAAAGAAGTCTGCCGCGTATTCGGGAAAATTGCTACTAATAAACCAGCTGCAGCTCTACCAGCAAACTTTTTACAGGATATTAAAGTGCTAATAAAAGTTATTGCTACAAACTTTTCGTTGCTAAGAGAAAAATTCAATGTTACAATTTAAATTATGAAGTACATGATAGAATATTACAGTTGCAGAAAATAAATTATTAATTATTAATTCTATATTACAATTGCATGAAAATATTCATATAACATATAGTACACATCTTTTGAAAGGTGTATAAAATTGTGCCTTGAAATCTAGAATACCATAGGAATAGTACAATAGCTGAGTGATAGAAAAGAAAAATAGGGCAGCAAGAGTATTGTGATTGTTGTTCTTCTCGTCCACTTCAGAACTTCGAGACTGCTAAAGAAAATCTTTGCAGTTTCGAAGTTACAAGACTGTGGAAAATATTTTCTGTACAATGTACGAACAAACGCATACAGCTTTTTAAATTAATTAGTAGAATTAACACTGCGTTCAACATTTAAATTTCAATAAAAGTACTAATCTGTTTTCTACTTAATGAATTTATAAGATGTAAAAACATTTCATTGTTTTATTCGTCCTTCCTTTTCCCAAGAATTTCTTTTGAGAACCTTGAATTCTTAGGGGTTATTGAAACACGGTCGATTACTTTAATGAGAGCGCAATCATTGGGGGATTAAGACGCGTTTAATCAAAAAAGAATGGAAATTTCAATGAACTAATAGAGTCTCAAAGGAATAAATTTTCCAGTCGGGCGAGCAATATCGTTGCGGAATTCTGGGCGGTAGTTTGTAAAATTTTCCTTCAACTTCCGGCACTCGGCCGATGTACTTTTTCTATGGTCTAAAATTGAAAAGGGAGGTCGAAACTTCTGGGAGAGCATCTGGAACCGGCTCGCAGAAACGATCCCATGAGAATGCCGAGTTTACGCAAGAAACTTCGCGCAGCATCCAGCGCGGAAAGTTCCGATTCGCAAGTTTTACACACGTTGCCGAACAATAATTCAAGTTCGCTAATACTATATAACGTCATATCGAAATATGTTATGCACAAAAGACTTTCGTCTATTTTTTAATTTAAAAATACAATTCGAAATTAAATTCAGAAAATATGCGAGTTATATACATATTTTTCACTATGGNATAGTACACATCTTTTGAAAGGTGTATAAAATTGTGCCTTGAAATCTAGAATACCATAGGAATAGTACAATAGCTGAGTGATAGAAAAGAAAAATAGGGCAGCAAGAGTATTGTGATTGTTGTTCTTCTCGTCCACTTCAGAACTTCGAGACTGCTAAAGAAAATCTTTGCAGTTTCGAAGTTACAAGACTGTGGAAAATATTTTCTGTACAATGTACGAACAAACGCATACAGCTTTTTAAATTAATTAGTAGAATTAACACTGCGTTCAACATTTAAATTTCAATAAAAGTACTAATCTGTTTTCTACTTAATGAATTTATAAGATGTAAAAACATTTCATTGTTTTATTCGTCCTTCCTTTTCCCAAGAATTTCTTTTGAGAACCTTGAATTCTTAGGGGTTATTGAAACACGGTCGATTACTTTAATGAGAGCGCAATCATTGGGGGATTAAGACGCGTTTAATCAAAAAAGAATGGAAATTTCAATGAACTAATAGAGTCTCAAAGGAATAAATTTTCCAGTCGGGCGAGCAATATCGTTGCGGAATTCTGGGCGGTAGTTTGTAAAATTTTCCTTCAACTTCCGGCACTCGGCCGATGTACTTTTTCTATGGTCTAAAATTGAAAAGGGAGGTCGAAACTTCTGGGAGAGCATCTGGAACCGGCTCGCAGAAACGATCCCATGAGAATGCCGAGTTTACGCAAGAAACTTCGCGCAGCATCCAGCGCGGAAAGTTCCGATTCGCAAGTTTTACACACGTTGCCGAACAATAATTCAAGTTCGCTAATACTATATAACGTCATATCGAAATATGTTATGCACAAAAGACTTTCGTCTATTTTTTAATTTAAAAATACAATTCGCAATTAAATTCAGAAAATCGAATTCGCAATTAAATTCAGAAAATATGCGAGTTATATACATATTTTTCACTATGGTGAGTGAAAATCGGAATCCTTTCTATCTGTCAGTCGCTGAAAATGTCGAACGTCGAAATTGAAAGTTTACGAACTAGAGAAACAAAAAACGAACGGAAGGCCATGGAAGTGGAGACTCCCTGATGAATGGTTCGACGATGCTTGATGTATCGCGTGGAAACAGAGTTGATAATGAGTTTCGGCCGGGGCAGTGAAAACTTGGCTGCGCGGAGCGTGCGGCCGTCGCGAACGCGACGCGTACCGGACATTTATTCGGTTGGCCAACGCGCGAACACGGAGACAGGAGAGAGTGTGAACCAACAAACGGAATTCCCGGTTCCTTTCCCTTGCAGATGTTCCCTCTCGACTTTCCTGTTTCCGATTCCCGTTTTTACCCAGGACAAAGTGCATCCGAAATCCGGCAGGATCTACACGGGATCACATACTTCCCGTGGCTTCGCTGTCTGATTCATTCTCCCGATTTTACATAGTAATCGCCATCATTTTTCACCGGTGGTTTTCACTCCACGAAAAGTTCCAAAGTTCAGATGATCGAAAGCGAAATCCAAATCTTTTCAAGTTCTTTCTTACGTACGAAACAAAATGTATATATGAAATTTATTTATTAATTATTGTATTTATACTTCGTTCTCCAAATACGTATGAATAATATTTTATAATCTACAAGCGACAAACGATTTATTGCGACGGAATTTCAATTGTGATGTTGAGCAGGTTAGAACAGAAGTGATAGCCCGGTTTAGTAAACAAGATGTTATTTGTGCGGACAGCTGTAACAGAACGACTTTTAACTGTGCACATAGAATAAAACCGCATGGTCGTACAGCAAACGGAAAAGAAGAATGGGAGACAAGGAGCCTGTCTCTGGCTGGACTGCCAGACTAAAATCCTGCGTGCACAAGTAAGTACGACGAAACAGCGTTTTACTGGACAAGTAGAATAAAACTACGTCTGCACGGACAAGAAAAATAGGAGCACGCGTAGCCAGCAAAGTAAAGCAAAACTATCTTAAAAGAAGGTCGTGTGGAGCAAAACTTCCAAGACAATCATATTTTTAAGGAATCAATGTTTCTGAAAATATTCTTATAAATATTCATTTCACCTGCTTGTGTATTCGAATTTCCAAACGCTTTTGGAAATATTTCTATAAAAATTCATGAGGACCACGGATCTGCCTACATTTTACTTTCATCGGCTTATTCTTATAATGGAGTAAATGCATTTTATAAATAAATAAATTTTAAATCAGTAATTCTTAGTCGAAAGCTAGTGTCGAAAATAGTTTCCGGGTTACAGGACAAACAAAATTCATGAATGAAGTAGAGAATTCCTCGAACGATATCTGATCGAACTGAAATTCTACACTGTACAACGTTAATAGTTCAAACAAACGATATTTGAAATCGAGATTAAAATACATATAACTAAACCAGACAAACTGGGTCAGATTTTAATTCGTTTGAAACGAAATGTATTCCGAAGTGAATAAACGTGTTATAAGAATTAAATTACGTTTTGCATCAGATCAATAGAAATCGGACTACACTGAATGAAAACAATAGTCTGTGTGTACTAAATTAAAATTGAACAGCAAAACGAAATTGAACGTTTAGTGGAAAATATGTGACCACTGCACTAACCATGTTGTGCATTTCTACCGAGCGATCGTCAAATTTTATTGTCAATTGTTTTTTATATCATGTACTGAATAAACGTTTATTTGATATTTATTATCTTCTATCGAGATTATTTTTATTGCAAATACTGTTACAAGGGAAACCAGAGTTCATCTATTCATTTTAAACAATTCTCTTTGAAAATTACTCAAAACCCATTAAATTACATTATCTATTTCTCAGCATCTAAGACAATATACCAAACGACTTTATATTAATTTTTTAAAATTATCTACTGATTAAATATTAGTTAATTAATTTTAATCCACACTTAAAAATCGATTTTCAGTTTAACCGCTACCATCAAGCTTTTCGTGCCAGTGGCTTGTGTTTCCAAGAAGCGTCTGACCACTCGTTAA